CCCCCCCCCCCCCCCCCCCCCCCCCCCCCCCCCTTACGAAGTGCTGTGAACCACTCTCCAGGGGGGCGTATCACGAAAAAACTTAAGTCAGGCTTAAATGTATAAAATTAGCACGTAAGTGCACATAACGAAGACTTAAGTCCAAATTTGACTTAGGTCACACTTAAGTTTTTTTGTGATACGGCCCCCAGGACTTGAAATGTCAAGTTCAAGTTTTATTGTATTACAAAAAAGCTTAAGTCAAAGGGTGACTTAAGTCATGGAAAATGTACCCTTAAAGTTATGACCTAAAACTTAAGTCATTGACGCATTTTTCGAATAGCTCAGGCATTTACCGATACGATTTGACGAAAACGACATTTTAAGGATTAGAGAATAAATATTTCGTTATTTTGCGGGTTTTTGTCCCAAGTTTGTCACTGTTGTCAATGACTTTTAAAAAGTAAACAAATCGCCAACTTAAGTCTTTTCATGATACGGTTTAAGTCCCCGGACTTAAGTCGGTCTTAAACTTAGACTTACGTTTTTCGTGATACGATCCCCTGGTTTTGAAATATTTTTCAAGCATATGATTAAAGAGAATAAAAGAAAAAACTGAACAGAGTGAACATAAATTTAAAACAGTAACGATAGTATTTAAGTTAAATGGTACTTATCAATTTTGTGCCTATGTACTCTTTTTGTATCCAGTTTCTAGTTCAGAAACTTTTTATTATCCAAGATACTAGGTCAGATTTTTTCTTCCAGGTAAACGATATACTTTTTCTTTGAAAAAAAGTCCCACCCATTTTCTAACGTTTATGTAATGTGTTAAAAAGACCGCAATTTTCCGAGTAACTGTTAGACAATTTTAGTATTCGTTATTATCAGAAACATCATTTGTCTTATGGAGTTATTTAACATTATATTGTTTGTTTAGTAATAAATTATAATAATTTATAAATATTGCAAATGAATCCGAGAAAATATAATATTGTCAAAACCCACTTCAATTCTGACTCACTGGGGAATAACCGTCAATGATAAATGAAGATTTATTTCAGTTTTAGATAGTGTTGTCCTACCTTTTTCTGTCTTTTCGTTCTTCTCATTCAACGGGTTAACTTTCAGTACAACATTTATTGTAGTACCGACTCTATCGACATTTCTTTCTTTTTGTAATATACATATAGATACAAATATGATACAGCAAACAATTAATATACTGTATAATCAACATTGTTCTACTCTTTGTCGTTTTGAAGCGCGCAGAGAAGAATGGCGTTCCAACTCAAAGATGAACTGTATTTAACATCCAGAAAAAATGAATCATCTGAAAAAGATGAAAGGAGAGTTAAACGTTCGCTACTTCGAAAATTAGATTTAACTCTATTACCTTTATTATGGTAACCTATAAATAGTTTTAAAGCATTCTTTTTCAAATAGTTCATTAGTGTTTTCCTCTATATCTAGCGTCATTTATCTACTATCATACCTTGATCGATCGAATATAGCTAATGCTAAACTTGGTGGTTTATCAGAAGATGCTCGTTTAAAAGCAAACAATATCAGTGGTAAATCAAATGAGTAGGCTAGTGATGTAAAGACCTTTTCTAACCATATTTCTAGGAGTCTAGCGATATTTTTCATTGGCTATGTTCTTTATGAAGCATCAAGATGGATTACAATGATTATGTTTGTGTGGGGTTCGTACTTTACATTTTATTTTTTCTAGTTTGGATTACAAAAATCAATTTTTTATATAGGTATTGTTGCAGTTTGTATGGCAGCAATACAAAATTTTATTGAATTATTCATTTGTCGATGTTTACTTGGCATTTCTGAAACTGGATTATTTCCTGGAATTGTTTATTATATACCATTATGGTATATAAGCGTATGGAATCGCTCAAATAAAAAGTTCATTATCAGAATGGCAATTGATCTTTATTGTAAGTCACTTATGTAAGTTTTCTGAAGTTATTTTTACATAATTTTACTCATTTTTGATTGAACATACTAATATGCAAGTTTTGAAAAATTGAACGATCTATCTCATTTATCTTTTTTTCTCAGATTGAAGGGGCACCCACGGTTCTTCTTGCTGATTGTTGTTGCTTTTTCCTCCCAGATTCGCCCGAACATTGTCATTTCTTGAACGAAGAACAACGATCATTTGAAATAAATCGTTTAGCAAAAGACGCTGGTGTAGCAAATGATCATTCTTTTTCTTGGTTACAGGTTCTTTCTGTGTTTAAAGATTGGAAGACATATGCATATATGGTTATTTATATCGGTGGAACAATCTCATTACAAGGTGTTACCTTATTTTTACCAACTATTATTTCTGGGATGGGTCAATGGAACAATGTAAAAGCTCAGTTACTGACTGTACCTTCCTACGTTTCTGCATTTTTTGGCACAATTATTCTCTCATTCAGTTCTGATCAGTATGTGTCGATCTATTGGAATTGGTATTATCTATATTTATATTTATCTTTTTCGTTTCGTTGAACGCTCATTTCATATGGTATTTGCTAATGTTGTCTCAATATGTGGATTTCTAATATTAATGTTTGTTAATCGAAAACAAGTGCATATACTTTATTTTGGTGCTATACTTGTAACAACTGGTGTTTACGCGAATGTATCACTGAAAATTGCGTGGTTTAACAACAACTTGTAAGTAAACGTATATGCATGAGTCAATCTTTGACAACATGAGTCAATCTTTGACAACATGAGTCAATCTTTGACAAGTCTTTTATCATTTTCTAGTGATGGGTAATGGGTATTACAGAGGCTTAAGAATACGTGAGCAGAAGCTATACTCCTTAATAATTGTTGTTAGAAAATTTGATGCTCGCTCCGTGCTGAGCCAAATTAGATAAACATTGGGTGTCAGGTGCAGAAGTTCTCGGTGAAATTTTATTTTTCTTCAGAGGATGGCAAATAGTGACTCCTTAAGAGTTTTGACAACAGCAAGGCACTTATCAGTTCCTAGAACGTCTCAGCCCTTATAGCGTGCGGGTTAGGTTAAGTCGTCATGTCTATGTAGGTGTGT